ACCCCATATTTTTGACCCCCCCGAAACCCCCCTGCAACCCCTCACCAATTTTATTTTTTTTTCCAAAATGGGGGTGTGCATCTCATAGACCCCCCCAACAACTTGAAATTCGCAATTTGGGGGGGTTACATTTTTTTCCTAGGGTCCCCGAAGTAGCGTAAATCAACCCCCACAAAATTTAACTTTTTTTTTTTTTTTGGCTTTGCGGCGTAGCGGCCGACGTGCGCAGGCGGCACGCACGCGCCGTTTTCCTGCGCGCGTCCCCGCCTGGGCCTGGCACGACTGCGCGCAAACTCGGCCGCGGGGCCGCAGCCGGCCTCCTCGGCCGCGGCCAAGGGGGGCACATATTTGGCTAGGTTTTGTCCTCTATTTCCTCCCTCTTTTCTCTCTCCCTCCTTCCTTCCTTCTCTCTACTCACTCTGACCTCTCATAATGATTGTGCTGTTTAGTGTTGGTGTGATGTTCGAAGCATCAGTACTCTGTATGTTAAATACTGGACATACTTTAACGCACGGAGTAACCGACGTAGAAGTGATACTACCGTTGTGTGGCTTCCCACTATCTAACTAAGATGGCTTCTAATATCTGCGGTCAACATGGACATAAAACATACTTTAACGCACGGAGGAGTAACGACTGCTGTCAATGTATCTAGTACGGTAACCAGGTTCAAACGAACCTATCTCGGGGAGAATTTGGATGAGTATGCGATTATATGATAGGATCAGTTCGTCCTGATGAGACTGCTCGGGGGGTAGTCGAAACGCTTGAGGATGAGCGCTAGAATGTGGATGAGTAGGGTGGTCAGGGACGCTGAGCCCGGTTCTCAGCAAAGTCTTGTGTTCACTCCGGGTAGACTGTGAGAACCCCGGCCTCAAACCTTCTCATGGATAATATCAGCCTTGGGCACTGGGCCCATTTTGCAAAAAAAAAAAAAAGAGAGCTCTTTTTTTTTTTTTTTTGGTACTTTCCAGAGTTTCTTTGTGTGTGAGAGAGAGAGCGCTAACATGTGCGTGTGCTTGTCGTGCGAGATTTGAGAGAAAGAGAAAGAGAGAGAGAGAGAGAGAGAGAGAGAGAGAGAGAGAGAGAGGCAGACAGAGAGAGAGAGAGAGAGAGAGAGAGAGAGAGAGAGAGAGAGAGAGAGAGAGAGAGAGAGGATCATTGTGACATTTTTTTTTTTTTTTAAAGGGTGATGGCCTTGAGGTATCATCGTCAACTGACCTGCCCCAGGTAATTCACACATTCTGCATATGAACAGTTCATGGATGTACCATTCAGCTGCAGCTGGGTATTATAACGCTTTCTACTCTGCATGGATGTCCTTGTTTGTTCGTTCCTTTGTTTTGTTGGTCTTGCTCTGTGACTTCGGGATGCCCTCCCCTCCTCCCACCTTGGCCGCCCTGAGCGTGCTGTTTTGCCTTTTGTATACGACGAGGAGTTTCGGAGGAGGGGGGCTTGCACTGGTGGTCTAATCATCTAGAATGAATCTGAATGATCATTTAAATGACACTGTTTTCACGTTTCTATGTTTTCGTATGACACTCATTTCCTTTCGAAATATACTATTGTTGATTAACAATCATAATTTTGCCAATTTGCAGGTCTTGGCCTATAAAATCTTCTCCATGATTCCGTCCTTCTGCGAAGAACACACCTGTGTGTCCGACGATGTGCATTTGGCTGCTAATGGTGAGAGAGGACAAGATTGTGCAGCTATGAAGGATAAGAACTTAGCCTTAACGAGCTTAAGATCAATATCTTCCTATTTGAGTGGAAGTGATGATTGTTCCAGGTAAGTCTACGTTCGGCATTCATCTACTTAAAATGCACGGGAGAAAAGAAGAGAAAAGAAAAGGAGAGGAGAGCAGTGGAGAGGACGGGACAGGAGAAGAGAGGAGTGGAGAGGAGAGGGTATGAGAGGAGAGGAGAGAAAAGAGAAGAGAAAAAAGAAGAGAATAGGAGAGGAGGGGAGGGGAGGGGAGAGGAGGGGATGGGAGGGAGGGGAGAAGAGAAGAGACGAGAAGAAAAGAAGCCTTACCCTGCACAGTAACTTTTGAGAGTTCAGCTCCTGATGAGTCTGTGAGTGGGCGGGCGAAACTGGTTGAGAACTCGACATTGATCGTCGTTTTGCTACTTGCATAGGAGCCTGGATATTTATGGTGGAGGTACAGGATTGAGGAAGGGTGGAGAAAAACTGCAGTTTGTTGGTATTGCTGCTGTTGAACTCCTTGCAGTAGCTGTTCCCTGAAAATGACTGTGAGGCCGCGGTTGTCCTCACCCATCTTCCTCACAGGCTTTCCTTACCCTGCACATTAACAGTTGCCAGCGCATGCCACTTAGCCACCATCCCGATATTGCATCCAGGACCCCAGGTACTTGATTGTGTATGTGACACTTTCTCTCTTATGTCTTTTCTCTAACAGGCAAGCCTACCTCCTGTGTTTCTTTCCCACGACTAAATGTCTCCTGCAGCAATCCTGAAGGCTGGTCTCCAGAATCGCTTTCCGTAAAATTGAACAGACTCTGAAGACTCCAGTCAAAGTCTGAAGCTTGAATAGGCATTAAGGGTTGGGCCCCACTGCTATGTTTATGCTCTGCTAGCAGGAATCTGGCCGCATTTATGGCCGGGTTCTTGCATTCTAACCATGAATATAGCACCAGTGGGCCTGCCCCTAAAACAAATGAGCTATCTATACATAGACAATGAGGATGGATCAAATGGATTCCACAGAGAAATAAGGGCAACAAATACCACCCATGTAACTGTTAGTAAACAGAAGATGAGCTCGAATCCTGATGCAGTCAGACGAACACAAAGACGTTAGAGGCTACAGCTGCATCCTATCCAAAAGGAAAAAAAGAAACAAGCTTAACAAAGGGCGAAAGTTACCTCTCCCCCCCAACCCCCCCCCGCGCCTTGACCCCTTAGGGATTGTCCTGCAGTGTGCCTGGGTGCCGCTAGTAAGTTTCCCGACTTGCAGGACAATCCCTAAGGAAAGGCCAAAGGGTGGGGGGGGGGGGTGCTGGAGCGACCCCCCGTTGGATAGGCGGCTCGAGCCACAAGGGTAGGCGGACTATCTTTTCTGTCTAATCCCCCCCGGTGCTTGTTTCAAAAAACTTTGCTTGCCGGTGATAAGCAACCGGACTGATGCCCCCCATAATAGACGGGGCTGGGAAAAAGGGCAAAAGTTACAGGCCTACAACACAGCATAAAACAGAGTACAAGCACAGGAATCATTTCTTTGGTGAAAAAAATAAAATAGAATTGAAAGGGCAAGTCAAACTGCCTAGCGACCCACAGAAATTCGGCATGATCGAAATGCCACATCCCGCTGCTGAATGGACAAGGTCAGAAGAGTGTGGCAGGGAGCTAGTGTGCTTGCTGCAGCTTGCGTGATATGCAAATTTTTGAGTAGTAAACTAAGTAAAGACCTCAGATAATACCGAAATTTGTGGGGGCCGTGCTAATCTTCTCTATATCGTTCCAACTTTAACAGATGGCAAGCATAAATCGAGAAATGGTACCAAAAAAAAAGCAAAAAAAAAAAAGGAAATATCAACATTTCTCTGCTGTTTGAACTTGTTTTATCTTTTGTTTTTCTAAACCTCGGGAGCAAGAGGCTAGGCCCCAACAGATCGTGACAACGATGCGATCCTACGTTATGCCCTTGACTCCACGTTCCTTTGTCTAAGCCAGCAGCAAAAGCGCTTGTCTCCTCAAATGAAGGAGATTGCGATGAAGAGAACCTCCCTTCACCAAGACTTCACTGCTTGAAGGACAATTCTATACTGTATGCTTTTTTTTTCCAACTTTAAAGCCCAGGTGTGCTGGCCCTACAGTAGATTCTGATATGTGCTTTAGGGCCCGCCACATACTCACGGCCTCGAACCGGCACCCTCAGCCACAGGAACCGAGTCTCTTAACCACTACAGCCCCAACGCTGTGTACAAAAGTGGAACCATACTGGTCGTGATATCTACCTTACCCCTGCAGGGCTGTATTGTCCAACACACACACACACCGCACACAACACCACATGGACACGGCAATTCATGAATACTTTGTTCCAGCAGCACGCGACCCACCACCGCTACTTAACCCGGTCACACCCACGGGCCAACTTCCCACGGGTTCCACCGGCGCTTTCACAGTAGGTTCTGATCCGTGCTTTAGGGCTTCAGGCCCTGCCGCTCACGCACGGCCTTCAACCGGCACCCTCAGCCACATGAACCTAGTCTCTTAACCACTACAGCCCCAACGCGGTGTACAAAAGTGGAACCATACCGGTCATGATAGGCAGTCAGGTCTTCCCTTGTCATATTTTTCTTCCGGCTTTTCTCTTACTTCGAAGTTACGTACAAAAAGAAACCACTCACACTGACCCCTCACAACGGACCCCAACCAACATCACTGACACAGAGCAAGACTAGGCAACTAATGGGAGTGGATTCAGTGGAACCTCGGTCGGATCTATGGGCAGTAAGGTCTTATCGGAGGGGTTTGTCCTCTTTTTCTTCTTTGCTTTCTTTTCACTTACTCTGAAGTTACTTACGAAAATAGACCCCACCCACACTAACCCCCCACGAGGGACCCCAACCGGCGTCACTGACACAGAGTAACATCGCGCAACCAACGGGATTGGAACTTCGGTCAGACTTCCCAAGAATGACATTGCAGCCAAACTGGTAATCGGCAGGGAGGAAAGGTTCGACAGGATTTGAAGGTGGATGAAAGACTCACCTGTCAGTTAATCCTTTTCCAAGAAAAGCAATCAATGCTGATCATCAGCGGGCGCGTCGGCCTCTTAATGGAAGGAAGCGTCTCGTCAGGTTGAGCACTCACATCAGTCTGCAAGGTTATGCCACACCCATGCATCTGAATGGTTCGGAACACTCTCCTGACCCATGACCGGATGCAGCCAGGACTTCGGGATCTCTGGTACCAACCAGATACGAGCCGAACCCATCTCCCTGCCTGCCGTCCTCCCCTGAACACAATGCACGCGGATCAAGAATGCATCTGACCTACCTTTCTGGTCCAGTACAGTGATCATGAGGGTGTGTGCTGCCTTCAGGAGAAGATAGTAGCTGGGTGTCTCGACTCAGCGGATAAGTTTTGCTCTCCCCCCCCACCCCACCCCCCTGCTACACACCCGTACAGCCTCAGCGGCATCTTCAGCAGTGTCACAAGCAGGTATCAGCAGCAGCAGTGGCCGTTGCATCACTTGTAGCATGAACAGCAACCTGTGATCGAAATTTGCAAATATCACACGGCAACATGCAGGGGCCCCATGCCACATCAGCGGCCGGCATTTTTCGTTTGGCTGGCCAAGGCCCCACATTGGCCGCTTCAACTTTGGCCTCATACAAGCTGCTTCTTTTTTTTTTGTCACTATTTTACTTTCCTGTGTGTTGACCGCATTCAATGCATTAAAAAAAAAAAAAAAAAAACTCAGGAAAGGAGGAGGAAGTAATTTTTTGACCGGTCTGGATGCCAGTGCTAGCCCCAATATGTGACCAGAATGTTCTTGGGAGGTATTCTGGACAGCGAGCAAGGAGTGTGGCGTGCCTCGAAATGATTTCAAATCTCTCATTCTGGCCTCTTACAGAAAGCCGTCGAGCCGTCCACTGTCCGGGTATTGGAAACCAGATGGCCTGGATGTGCATCCCCCCTCCTTCCCTCCCTCCCCCCCTCCCTCTCTTTCCTTTGACTCTGTGTTGTGGAGAAGTGCCTTAGTGGAAGTTACTGCACCATCATCTGGTTCTAAATGGGAAAACGGAAACCATCATGGTTGTGAGCAGGTCATTTCAAAATTTGGCATTATTTCCATCGCTTGGTCAAAATGGCATGTTGACAAGCTTTGTTATGTTGACTGTCCTGTATTTGCATGGATGTGTATCTGGAAACAAGAATGAGGAGCTCTGTAGACAAGTACCTGGAGCCGTTTGACACCCAAATTCTCTCAACACCTCGTGGTATCTTTTGCCGCAGCTCTGATGGGATGGTGGATCCAGCCAAGGTGGTTCTCTCTCTCTCTCTCTCTCTCTCTCTCTCTCTCTCTCTCTCTCTCTCTCTCTCTCTCTCTCT